GTAAATGTTGTACTTATAAATGCAAACACATACAGACAGCTGTATTTTGTTAGAGGCTCCTACTAATTTATTTTTCATCTGCTTGCAGAGTTCCTCACTCTGTTTGTATTATAATGAACGTTAAGGAACCTAATAAACTTTTTGGAGACTTATCGCTGAGTTCAAACAACTAAGACGTAGACTCAAAAATGGTTAACTACCCTTTATTTCACTCAGAATAAAATAAACAGTTAGCCTCTTTTTCGGGCTCACAACAAAGCCTCTACTGGGGCTTGAACTCAGAACAAGAAATAAGAGCTATATTAGAACTAACTAAGAGACGTAGTCGAAGCTAACAAAAATCTAACGTAATTGGCCCTTATTTTAAACTAGCCGGCGAATAGCAAAAGGCACGTAACATACGGCCATGCCTAACATCTTCTAGAGAGACTTAGCCCGAAGGCAAACGCGCGCTACTCAGGATTCCTAGCTCTCTAACGAAGTAAGTTGAACCTTCTATCAATACTACTTCTAACTCATTTGCATTTAATGCGATTCTAAAAACGTATTCTAATAAACTTATTCTAACTTATTCTTCTTCAATTTCACTTTAGGTGAATTTTAATAAATGTTTTGTTTGTATTATTATCAGTTTCATTCTTGAAGCTTTAAAGATAGGGATATTTTCGCATTTTCTCTTCGACCATTACGGACAAACAAAAAAGCAGTGTAACTTAATGCCAGTTATAGATAAACATGCATATAAAAACATAAATGTTATAAAACGCATAAGACTTCCACCTTGGTAAACTCCTTACAGCAATTTTACACATTTTATATAAAAATTTATCCATAAACATCACAAAACAGATAAGATTTTCGTCTTTGTAAACTACTGGCAATCGTTTTAGAAATTTTACATAAACATGCATACATAAGGATTACAAAACGCATAAGGCCACCTTAGTAAACTCCTAGCCATCTTTTTACACATTTTACATAAACGTCACAAAACGCATAAAATTTTCGCCTTTGTAAACTCCTTAAAAACATTTAAAAATTTTTTTGCAGAAATAAACGCACAGCATTATCGATCTGGTAAACTCTTAGCAGTCTTTTTACAAATTCTACATAAACATACGTACAGAAGCACGAGACCGCCTTGGTAAAACCTTAGCAACCTTTTTACAAAATTTGCATAAACATGCATACATAATAATCACAAAATACAAAGCATCTTCGCCTTGGTAAATGCTTAGCAACCTTTTTACAAATTTTACTTAAGCATCAGAAAACGCATAAGATCTTCGTGTTGGTTAGCTCCTAGAAACCGTTTAATAAAGTTTGCTTGCAAATTTAATACGTCTTCCGTACATATTTAGGCACTAAATCGTGACTTAGAGCCATGATTCTCGATGTCTGCTAATGATTAGGTCTACGTTTTCCAGGTTTGATCCTTGGCTGTAAAATCTATCTTTGCAATATCTTTTAGAGGTCATTCTGCTGGTTAAATTGTTTGACCTAAAGTGGCTAGTCGAAATATATGTTGACCAAAACTGAATTCATACTAAGGTCTAGCTTTAGATATTGCATCAAACGAAAATCCATTTTCACTCACACAAATAGTGCTGATGCGTAAACTGATTGAAACTGGAATTTTCATCGAAACGTTATTCTTTTCTAACACATTGGCAAATTATGCCTTAGCTATGACCTTGGCAAATTATTTTAACATACTGGTACAAACATATGCTGTTTTAATTCGCACTAAATGCGTATCAGTGAAATACGTATCAAATACAAGAACTATCAGCTACTTTCTTTTAAATAAACGTTGAGGAATTATAAAGTACCAAACATGAAATATGACATTTTTCTTCTAATTTCACAGTTACGTTCGTAAAATAACAATATTTTAGCATTAAAGTATAAGTTTTAATGCTAAATTTATATTTTAATGCTAAAATAATATATAAAATTAAAATGACGCATAAACCAAGCTGAAATTTCAGAAACTTATATTTGATCGAATAAATACCAAGAGATTTGCAAGCATTACATTTAAATATATGAAATACCACCTTTATCATATTAAATAAAATGCCAAGTGAAGACTTAAAATCCAAAATCTTATATCTTTTCCCTAAAGGTGCACGTAAAAAATTCTAAGTTCCAAAGAAATTTATAAGCTGTTTCGTCATATGAACTTATAAGCGAAAGTTTAGGCACATGCAGAGCTCTTTTATTAAAAAAATTCGAATCCCTTTTCCCAAAAAGGGAAAGAAATATTTCCCGAAACATTTTTCATCAAGGTTCATGCAAGATTTATCTCTTCTGAAACATGGCTGAACAGGTTTTATAACTTTCTCGATTTGCCGTGTAGCTTATTTCATGGCTGACTCGATAGCCTGTCATTGGCTGATAAATAAAACATGGTCCTTTCTTTTCCTATATTCAGATTTTAAAAACATGCACATTCAGATGCATTACATAAGTACATATATATATTCTATAACCCATTGTTAGATTATTATTTTAATTAAAAAATAACCATTTAAAATTTTAAAATTTTCTACTTTGCATCGGAAAACATGGCCATTAGTATTTTAAAATCTTTTCCATGCATCAAAGAATTGTAAGAAGCTTTCCAAAGCACACTAAAGCGTCTCAGACTTCTAAATAAAATTATGTTTGTAAACTCTGAGAGTAGAACAGTTTTAAGTTAAGCTAATCTTAAGAAGAATTGTGACCTGGTTGTGTATGTATGCACGAGGTCTGAACATTTTTGGAAGCAAAATAACAGTGAAAGTTAAATATCCATTAAAGTTTTTCAACGGCAGCATTTGTCAATCTGTGGTTCTCGAAGCCTGCTCTTGCTCTGCTATTCCAAAAGCGACGAAAAATAAATTCCAACTTAACTGTAAATACCACATTATAGTTGAAAATCATAAAGTTTGGAAATTACAAACGGCAACAGCCTATACCTCGATCTTCTTAGAGGCAGCCAAGTGGCCAAGTTGCAAAAACATAAGTAGTTCGGCCTGGTGTTCAAATTCTGGCGGATGGGCTGGCTGCATGCGCATTTTCTTTGTTTTCGCAATGCGCAACATGCATATGAGCCAGTTTCTCTTAGAAAGTCCTCAACGAATGCATCTCTTCCCTTAGGCAGATAGCCCTCGAGTGTTTTGCTAAAATCAAATAAACCTAAAATCTGTTCTCCTAAAACTGGCATTCTATAAATAAAAGCAAAGTACCGGAATAAGACTTCTCAGAATTACGCTCATCGGCATATATACTCGTACAAACACAGAACAATAACGCAAAAATGAGCAGGCTCATTCGGCTTATTGATGTGAATATCAGCATTTAATTTTTTGTTTTATTAGTGATTTAATTTTTAGTTAATAAGATAGTGATTATCCAACAGCCTTCAATATATATGTTATAAAATTATATGAATTTTATTAAATTTTATTTATAAAAATACATAAGCATAAGCACCGCCTGCTGAAAAAATTGCTTCGCCAAGTAACAAGAGTAAGGTGGTTCGCAATGCTTTTTAATTTATAAAAGTAATCCGTGCCTTGAGAAGAATATGAGAAAAGCTGGTCTAGTTTACCAGTTTTACTCCTGAATGTCCTTACTTTGCATGATTCATTCTTAAAGCCATAGACGGACTTCTATTGCATAACGCATGCGTACTAAAATTTTCGAGACCTTGGCATGCTGGCGTGTCTTGTGACACATGCATTTCGTTGTGCTAATTTTAAAATTTATATTTTCTGGAATTTTAACCATCACTTGACTAATTATTTTTTCTTCTTGAACATGCATCTGAATTGCTCTATTTCTTTTTTTTTCTATTATTTTCTTTACTTGGAATGAGAAACAGAAGGTGCATTTTCATTGAAATTTTGCAAAGTATGAATTTTTAATATTTTGTTATGATAAGGATCATATAATTGGCATTATGTGTAAAGGATCTTTCTCAAGCGCACATAAGAGGAAAGATGATAATTAAGAATGATACATATACAAAAGCATTAAACAGGAGAAAAGAATAAGTAGCGATTCTTATATAATTTTCCTCCGTATTTTATACAGACACATGTTATTGATGATTCCTTAAATGGCTGCTAAATAAACCGAATTTGCTTACCATTTTGCTATATATTATTTCTTTTCATTATTTCATTTTATTCATAAGCATTATTGCTTATGAATAATAACATTATTGTTAATAATAACATTATTGCTTTACATTATTTAGTTTCCAATGCTCTATACTATGTAATAAAAAGTGGTATACATTTTTCTAAACGAATTCAGTTCAAATCACCGAAAGAATATTTTTTTGACCTATTCAAAATTCATATTTTAATTAAGGATTAGACTTCTAAGAGATTTTATCCTTTCTCACAGGGTGTCGTCGTGGTGTAAATAGTAGCATGTCCGACTAGCAATCAGAATGTTCCGCATAGGAACTGCTGCGAGGGCATGGCTGTATTTTTGAGTTTCCTGCTTTAAAATTCCTTGCAGAATCCGTACATTTACTCTTCGTTGATCTCAGTTTAAAATAATGCTTTCTAATGAAACCTATTAAAAATTAGCATGTAATTTTATAACATCAGAAAAAACTATTCCTACAAAATTTTAATAGAATTCAGCTAAGCAAAAAGAAATTTTACGGGAGTTTTTGCGGCTATTTTTGACATATTACTGCATAGAATATTCAAAAAAATTCATTCATCAATTCATTGATTGTTTAAAACATTAGGTGAAAAGTTACACGTTTTCAAGATTTATAAACATTTTACTTTTAAACTCTACTGTCTCCTTTTATTTTCTCTTTAGGAATTTTCTGAATATCCCATTAGATTTTCTTTTCGATTTTTCTCTTTTGTTTTGAGCTTTTTATAAGTTAATGGAGCTTGTTTTAAAATCCATGAATAGCAATAATTGAATTGGTGCTAAAGACTGTACATGAACTTAGATTTAAAATAAAATAATCCAGAACTTACCCAAACTTGACGAAATTCGTCCAATACGTCATCACTGCTTCCGATATGGAGGCTTCGGGTCTAGAGAAATTCCGGTGGAAATGTGACAAACTGTTTACTAGTGGTGCTCCGAAAACATACGGGAGATCTTCTCCATGGATACAACCCATTCTTTGAGTATAATAACTCTCCTCTGTTTGGTACATAAACACATACAGGTAAGTCCTTTTTTGGCTCTTTTGTTGTATTTTGGAATGGTAACTGGCAGTGCGCATCATTGGTGCTACAATAAGTGCGTCTCCCATGGCATCGGCTGTTGAATCCAGTACGTTTATCGGGTGCTGATCTGGTTTACTCCAATCTGTATATTCATTAACAACTGTTAGGAAGATCTCTTGAAGATGGTAGGTGAATAAGTTCCTGACGAGGGTTCTCAATAAACGATCACGCCTGGACACTTCAATACCCACTCGAACTTCTTGACTGGAGAATTTGAAGTAATATTCTATTCTACTAACACCTTGTAAGAGATCATATTGGGAAAACAGATCGTTCTGTTTTTCCATTAGCACAGATGGTTCACCCGGAATAACCACGCCATCAATTGTTGGCCCAAAAGCAGTCAAATGATCAGGAACACGCAAAGGCGCATTCAAGATGTCCTCAACTGGTCTTTTCCCCAGGCAAGCGACAAGGGCTGCACTGTCCTTTGTCGGGCATTTTACGTGGCTTGCTACCTGACGAGTATAAGCCAAAGCATCACGTGCGATAGCCCAGGGACTTAAAGCTGAACCACTTTGTAATATAGCTCTTTGAAACAACCCTGTTAAAAGTTATAAAATGTAATTCTTAAATAATAGAAGGAACTATAACTGACATTTCAAATAATAAACACAGCCATGCAAAATATCAGTTGCTAAACATTTACTGTTTACAGAATTTTTTTGTTGCTTTTATTTTCAAGAATATGCAACGAAGTACTTTTAAATTAAAGAATAAGTTACTTAAATAAAGTATGCATAGTAAAAAGGTAAGTTAAATTATATAGGTATTCACTATAAATGACTACAAAGCTATTAATCATTAATACAATTTTATAAATTCACAAGCAGAATATCTCTAAGAATATTCAGTAGAGTGAAAACATATATGTATTTCAAGAAGATTATATAACTGATTAAGGTAAATAAAGTTAGAACTGATGATTATTCTAAACCACTTATAAAATTTCTATCTTTTCTATAATCTGTTAAGATTATTAACGTAATAAGCTGAATGTCAAGTTTGAAAAAATTATATTATCTTATGACAGTATATTTGTGATTATTACATATTATATTATCCTCGATGATAGAAAATGATATTATGCTATCTTTGATCTTTAGAAGAGGCTGACAGCTAACCTGAAACGAAGGAAGCGTGTTGAACGGCCGGTGTCGCGTAAACTTAGGTTGCATATGAATGTCCCCTTCCCTCTCGTGGATAGGAAATTGGTCTACTACCCTGTGTTGACCCAACGTTTTTTTGGGATAAGGCAGTTAAGTGACCGAAGTATTCAGACAATCCTAACAAATTCTTTTAAGGAAGAGTCCTGCCATTTTAGGAGGACAGTGTGAAAAATATAAAATATGCATTCTAACTGAAATTGTTATATATTACGTGTTGCTTTAAACAAAACACTATGCAAGAAATATCCTAATATAACAAATAAATAAACATAATCTGCCATGAGATGTAAAGTAATCTATGTTACTAAGTTTAAGATATACAAATACGAATTAAAAGTTATGTGATCCTAAAATTCTCCAACGTAATGAACAGTAAACATACGCATGCGCACATAACAACCCTTAGCATATACCTTATTCTTTTATTCTTTAAAATATATTTCAATTAAAAATTGTTTAGCTTTAATATAGAAATATAGCATTTTCGTCAATTAATGAATCCCTGATAAATATACTTGAAATAATTTTAAAATATCTTGTAGATTCTTTCCCTATTTTTACAATTTATGTTACAAATACATTTGTTTCAGTTTCTGAATTTGTGTATGCATAGAGAAGCTCATTTCTGAAATGCTTCCATAATTCCATTTTAATAAAAGCCTTTCCCTATAGTGTTATATTTTAAAAGTTAATGCGCTGTTTCATAAATGTAGATCATGAGCTCCGTTTTCAGGAATTTATTTATATCTCATACCAATAGCGTATATTTTATTCCTTCTCATTTTCATTTGATGCTTAACAGCAATTAAATGTATGATTGCATTTTGTAACATCTAATAAGCATGCTAATTGTAGCATTAAGGAAAAAAAAACATCCTTGCCAAATTAATTTTTTCTAAGAACGATGATTTATTTTTTACATTTAAAAATTTATTAAAAGTTATTTGCAACGTACCTCTAGCTAAAGGTGATAGCATGAGAATGTTGACAAACGCTGCCCCGTGACCGTGACCGAACACAGTGACATTCTTATGATCGCCCCCGAATTCTGGAATGTTTTCTTGGACCCAATGCAGAGCGGCCACCTGATCCATGATGCCGTAATTGCCTCGAGACGACTCATCCAGTGCAGGAAGGAAACCTAGAAAGATCGAAAAGAAAAAAAAGAAAATCTCTTAATGCGTGTTAGCACAATGGCAGACTACAAGCTTCAGAAAACCTTGTTACGATGCATCGGAAGACTATTTTGTTTTCTTTCGCAAAGCAAAATATCATACTGATCTCTCCTTACTTTTCGCATCGAGCGCGTTTTATTGAAGGTTAGAATTAATTTTATTAAAAAAATAGACCTCTATATCAGAATGGATAGTTTGTTCACTTGCATATAATATACATATATATGTAACGCATGAAATGAAGAAATAATGGACACTATTTCTGTTTTTTATATTTAAAAAGTATTTATCATCAAAATAAAGAAATCACTAAATATATTCAGCTTTCATTAATATAGAAATGCGGATATAGAAGATAAGATTTTATTTAAATGTCATAGTGCACCTTGATGATATAATTTTTAAGTTTATAAGGCATTTTCTCCCTTCTTTCCATGTGCCGTCCGGTGTTCGAATCCCGATGAGAATATTATATATTTTTCATGCTCCTCCTTCGATGTCACCTAACAACTGTGCAAGATTCTTACTCACTTTAATAGGAAATAAATATGGTAAAATTTCCGAAGCCTTAGAGGAAAGCCGATTTCTTTTATTTAAAAAATTTTAATGTTTATTTTCTAATTATTATTTTTATTTTAAGACAAACTTTTCCTGCATTAAGCTGATGCCTGAGTTACTTCAGTAGGAGAGCACGTTCTGCTTTTCGGCTATTGCTATTAGTTTATGTTGTTGCTATTAGTTAAAGCTCGCTATTCTATGGCCGTACTTATTTCGTGCTTGATAGTTTACGTCGGTGATTCTTAGTTAAGAGCCTGTTCGCGGTAACAACTCTGTGCAGCTTAAGCGTTTTAGTACAATTAACAGTTAGTCTGTTTTATACTTTCTATTTTTAGTTAAAGCCGAAGAGGAAGCTTCTAGTACTTCCAAGAGTCTTGTACGCCAAGTACGGCCACAACAAGTACTTTGTACGCCAGGTACGAAGCTTCTTGTACGCCAAGTACGGCCGTCTGCGAATCTAATTAGAGTTAGAAGAAAAGGGTATTTTAGCTCTTCTTTGAACTTGATGCGCAACAAAAGCTCAGTAAATAAGCACAACACAGTTCTTCATTATTCTAGCTTTCAAAGAAATTTATTAGCATACAATAGTCATTACAATAGTTGCGTACGTCAAAATGACAATTTTTGTAAAAATTCGAACTGTTATTATTATTATTATTATTATCATATTTGAAAGTGTTGTTTCTAAGTTTCTAAAATGATTCAATCTTATGTTTACGGGTGTTAGGGGAAATATCAGGAAATTAAATCACCAGAAATCAATTAAAACACAAGAAAATATATCTGAAAATTTTATTAGTGTATGCTATATTACGCATAACAACACGTTAGATAGGAGATTTAAGGGAAACAAAAATGTAACTAAATTTTTAAAATTCCAGATGGTACTTCCCGACGCCTACTTTCAATAAAATTACATTTAAATCTAGTGCGTAAAACCTTAGGATAATATTACATTTAAATATGCCTAAATAAACACAATATATCTAAACAATATGTGCAATAATAATTAAAGGTAAACTAGCGGAAGTGCAAGATACCAGTTAACTTAGATTGAGAGTAATGTATGTAAAGAGATAAACGATACTGCTATAAACCTTCTGTAATAAAGATTCAAAACATATGATTCATAGTCATGCATTTTTCAGTCTGATGCGATATGGAAACCACACAAAAGATTTTGATAAGAAATAAACTAATTCTCTCTCACTGTATCATCAAAAATGGCACCTAGTTTTCAATTACTTTCGTCTTTTGAATCAAATGGTGGTAAAAGCTCAAGTTTCATTCAATATTTCGCCTATATTCAATTTTAGTCGATTAAATGTAGCAAAAAATTTAACATAATTGATCAGAAATCAGTAACGGCAACAAACACAGAAACACACATTATTCTTATATATATAGAGAGAGAGTTTGTAAAACTTAAAAATTTTTGATTAAAAGTCTACGATTTGAAAGCAAGCAGTAGCAACACTTTTTGAAATAAGGCATTTTTATCTTCAACGCGCGAGACTGTTGCCATCCAGAAAAATGTGTGCGAAAAATAATGTTTTCGAAGTTTTTAATTAATATTTCAACTGATTAAAGTCGTACGGAGACGGGAACAGTTGAAAGGGCTTGCCACGAGTTTTTGGAATCGGGAATAATGTACTTAATGTTTGGCAATGTTATTTTTATTTCATCGTAAAACTTAGAATTCTTTTATTAACAAACTCTAGGATATGAAATCGAGCAGAGGCAACAACTTTCGAAATAAAGCAGAGTTTCATCTCCAGCTTACAAGACGGTTGCCACTCGAAAAAATGAGAGCGAAAATTATCGTTTTCTCAAGTTTTTTAATTAGTATCTCTGATTTTAGTTACTTCTTTTTTGGAAAAAAGTGGACGTCGACCTTTTCAATGACCCAGAAAAAGAATCGTAGAAAGTTTGCGATAGCCATAATAGTGACTGAGTTACGAGGGCCATCCAGGAAGTAGATTACGTTTCCGTCTGTGTCCGCTAGGGGCGGCTAGCGCGGCCATCTTGGGGTCAGACCGTGCTAGTGAGAGGTTCGTGCTGTGCTCCGTTCAGATACTGTGACGGTTTGAAATGTCTGCGTTAATTGAAAATCCCGCGAGCTGCGAGGTGCGCTCAGTAATAAGGTTTCTGACTGCAAAAAACTGTAAACCGATAGAAATCTATCGGCAGCTTCGTGAAGTGTATGGGGACAACATTATCACTGAAGGTGGAGTGCGTCAGTGGGTCATAAGATTTCAAAATGGCCGAACCAATGTTCACGACGAAGATCGAAGTGGGAGACCCAGCATAGTGACCGCCGAAGTTCTCGAAAAAGTCGATGCTAAAGTCCGTGAAAATCGAAATTTCACAATAACGGAACTTTCTTTGAGTTTTCCACAAATTTCGCGAAGTTTGTTGCACGAAATCATCAGCGAAAAGCTTGGTTACCACAAGTTTTGTGCAAGATGGAAGGCAAGAAGAGGTAACGAAGTGGTTGAAGGCGCAGGCGGCCGAATTTTTCGACGAAGGAATTTCCAAGCTCGTACATCGCTACGATAAATGCCTTAATTTGTATGGTGACTATGTAGAAAAGTAGTATTTGAGTGTGGCTTTCATCTGTATATAATAAAATTTGTTTCCTATACTTTGTTTATTTTTTTATTCCAAAACGTAATCTACTTTCTGGATAGCCCTCGTATTAGATGATAAGCAAACATACTTTCTTCTGTATATAGATAGATAGAGGTATATATAATTTGCAATAGAAATTATGAATAATTTTTGAAGCCCTTCAGCTCTTTCGAATAATGTTAATTTTTCTAAAGTCATTCCAAATAGTTTTTGGAGGGATGAAGTCTACGATTTAGGTAGCTAGAGAACTAATGTTGAACTGAAGAAATCCCATATATCAAAAATTAACAGCCTCGTCTAATGACTGGAATTGGATTCATTTAAAATAAATTTTTCCTGTTTTTATGACTCAGTTACTTGGTAATTGACGAGAAAGCTTTTTAAAGACATGCAGAAACCTTTTCGATTTACTTTACAGAAATATCTAAACGAATCATTTGACAGCTGAAGATGATTGTTTAAAATTCGATGTGAAAAGTTGAGCTGCAATCTTGATGTTAAAATTCCATACCTAACTTCTTTATCTTTTGATTCTCAATTAAATGCCATTCATAAAAAAGTAGAGAGCAGAGACATCTATGTATGGAAATAGAAATGGAATGAGATGAAACAAAGAACAAAATTACTGCATCTAAATTTTCCTCGCATGGGTCAGTTGAAATTCGAATTAAACAACGGAAGAAAACTCGTAAAATGTCATATTCCAAGACAAGCATCGTTATTTATGCATCTCGTTACTTTCTACTCCAGCAAAAAAGAACTTTTGGAATGAAGTCCGAAATTAGTTACGATGCCAACGACAGTTTTATAAATTAGTAGCGTCTCTGCGAATGGGAACCTCGCTTTGATATCCGGAGATACAATTTACATTATTTATTCCACAACGAAGGAAATTGTACTGCCTGACTAGATTTGAAATATAGTTTTGCTTTCTTCTTCATAATCCGTTTCACGTATTCTTTCCAAATCGATTTCGAAACCAGAAAGATGTGAACAGAATGTTATTGGTTCAGTAATTTAAAGAAGGATCCACGGAGGGTAGCAAATGTTTTTCTAAGAGCTGTAAATTTATTTCGTTGGGTGGACGTTTAATTTACGTTCATTGCAATATATCAAAAGAAGTAAATCGATTTCAAACATAATAATACGGCTTTGCGGAATTCAAAACAATAGTTTCTGAAAAATAATCAGATAATTTTTTAATCTAGTAAACTTATAACAATTTGTTTGCTGAAAATACGAATCTAGTTACAAGTATTTAAAATAAAATGGATTTTATTTGACTATATTCACTGTCGACAACTATGACCATAAAAACCTACCGTACGAGAAACCCGTATTAGGAAAACGAATAAATTAATGAACATGAAAATAAAGCGTTTGAGATCAAACAAGTTTATCAAAAATTTTAAGTGACAAAAATTAAAGCAATATCATGTTTGGAGGAGCAAAATACAAATGTCCAGCCTAGTAAAATTTGCAAGGCAGTTGAGCGGTAAAGGACAAAAATGCATTTCTTCGGCATACGAACTCACATTGTGTTAAATAATTTTTTCCAGTATATCAGTGCTTTCCAGCTTGAATATGTTTTTAAGGAGATGATGATTAATTTTCCTACATAAATTAGTAAGTGAAAGTAAACCAGTTTTGAACGTGAATTTGCAGAATGCGATTTCACATATACGTGCTGTCTTAATTGTGTCCATTTGTCGAACGCTAAAATTCCATTTATACCCGATTCCGTGTTCACCCATCAACACTCAATACTTCCTGGCAT